CCCCAAAACCCCAAAACCCCAAAACCCCAAAACCCCGCGAAAGGGATCTGTATTCATAAAGTAGTTATGAATATTTGAAATCTAAAATATTTTGAGATTAATTATTGCTTTTAATAGACTTTATAAACAAAAAAATAAATAAACTTTGCAATCTTTACCTTTTCGAAGACTTTTTCTTTAGAAATCAGCTTACAATGGACAACCTTTATCAACTTAGACAAGATTAGGTAATTAAACCATAGTTTAATCCTTTTTAGATGGAAGAGTATAAAGATGAAAGAGCAGAAGGTCATAGAGACCTGATGGCAAACATTTTACAGATTGCAGTAATAAACAAAATGCTTCCCAAAGGATTTAAGTTTGAGCTTTATGAGACTGTAAAGAGGTAGAATGACTCAAATACTAATTAGAGGACTATTGTTTAGAAGAAAAAGAAGGTAAGTTTAATTAAGATATGCTACAGAGGACCTAATTGATGAGGAATTTTTGCAATATAAATCAAAGACCGCCTTTTGCTGATTAACTTTGTATAGCCACAGAATCAAGACTATGAAAATGGAGAAACGGGGTCAACAATATTAGGGGCATCTTCTCCAAGAAATAATGCTCCACTAGGTAGAAAACCAATCAAAGATATGAAAAGCAGTGTCAACAATGAAAATAGTGCTTTTTCTAACAATTCTAATGATAACTAGAGTAAAATGATCAATGTTCTAATTTCACTATTTAGGATCATCGTAAAATACAAATAACCCAATCAAATAGCGAGTTTCTCAAAGATAGAAAAAGCCTAACATAATCGAAGATATTGGATATGTTGAGAAGGAACAAAAGAGATAGAAAATAACAACAATATGGAGGGAATAGCAAGGCAAATGCGAATTATTGATCTAATTGCTAAGAAAGTAGCCTGGTGCAGAATTGTTCTCTAAACCTCCCGACTCTCATCATCCTTACTACACCGAAATAATGAACGAATATATAGACCTAGCATTAGTAGATAGAAAATTCAAATAGGGTGATTACTAGAGTACTATTTAATTCATACATGATATTAGAGTAATCTGGGACAAAGCTTTTAGATTTATGAAAGATGATTCTGAGACATTTAAAAGAGCAAAGGAATTAAGTACACTATTTGAGTAAAAGGTTAGAGAAATTGAATAAACCAACATTTCTCAGGTGATACAAAAGGGTATAAATGATCCCAATTCCGCAGTTGCAGAGCTAAAGTCTAATATTAATAAATACTAGAAGGAGATAACTCAGAAGATTTAGAAAGATGGAGGAATTGAAAAACCTCCTCAACAGTAGTTATAATAAAGAAAATAATCTCATCGAGCAAATGATCAACCACTTCCTTAAAATAACTAACAATAGCCTCCCTAAGAGTTGCATAATAACAATAATCTCTACTAATAAACCCCTAATTTCGGTGAGCAAAATGAAGAGGACTACCTCAATAAACCAATGCCTTTTTCAGAGAGATAGACACTAGGTCACAACATCTAATTTCTTCATACCGAACAATTATTGGGTATAGTTGATATTATTAGCGATAAATCAGAAGGATAAAAGGAAATGCTAGAATTCGACTTAAAAGAATTAAATGACAGAAAATGCAGAGAGCTTGAAAGATATGTTTCTAAATGTATCAAAGATAATCAAGAAAAAGAAAGGTAGGGATAGCAACTTTAACTATAGCAAGCCCACCAGACAAATTAAGCGCAATAGTAACAACAATTATACTAATAGTAGCTAGCGCAGTAATAGCAATAGTAGTAATAGTAGTAATAGTAAATAAGTAATTACCCAACAAGCTAGAAGTAACCATAATAGCAAAACATTCCATAAATCCAGGGTGCTGCTTAAACTGCAACTAATAAAATTCCTTAACAGCAATAGTAAGTTCAAAATAATTAAAAGGGAGATACAGCACCCACTCACCAGATGGGCTTTACTGATCAAAACACCCTAGCATAAAACCCAAATTATATGGTATCACCAATCCATCATTCTTATATGAATGGATTGGCTCTCTAATAGCAATAAATGATAATTGGCCAATAAAATTTAGGTCTAATGGATGCTAACAACTATTAGCTATACTATCCATAGTAATAAACTCTAAACCAATAGCAGACTAATCCTAATGATCCACTTAAGAAATAGGGAGGGTTCATTTAGGAACAGCCGTAATAAATAGCATATAACTAGTATCAAGGTGCGTAGCCTAATGGAGCGCACTAAATTATGAGCTCATATCCACTTCAATATACAGCATATTCTCACAACTTGGGTGAGGAGTAGCAATAATTCATGTAATAAAACAATCTAGCGTAGAACCTACTAGCAACAGGAGCATTTTACGGCAGTAATATGACTTTGAGTGGGATTGATCCATATTAATAAAGCTATGCATAGATAGGTGCACAGCACTGGAACCAAAGTCCTGACTAGATGGGATAAAACCCTGGAAATTACAACTAATGATTAATAAATGAAGTTTGTAATAAATTCATTCCTATCCTATATTTATGATATATTGATTAAATGCTCTTTTATTAAACTTAAATTTCAATAGAAGTAAGCTTTATGGGGTTTTGGGGTTTTGGGGTTTTGGGGTTTTGGGG